CTTTGGATGGTGGGTTATGTCAACAGTGCCGTCCTCTAAGGATATTAAAGAGCATTCAAGGGTCTTTTTCAGAGGATCCTCCTTTTAACATGTGGTGGGTTAACACATGACCCAAACTAGTACCCTCAAAATTACAGTTGTAAGAGGACAGTAATACTAAATATTAAATGATCATTATTAAGAACTTACTACATTTATCCAGAGTTTTCTGTTGGCTTTCAGTCAAACGCTAAGCTTTTAATAAGTACTGTCTCCTTTAAGTACCACAATAGGCCCCCAGTAAACTGGGTATTTACTAGCTGTGCAGCCTCAGGCAGGTTTCTTCTTCCCAGGTCTGAAGAACGGAGACACCTGCCCCACACAGCTGTTGGGTGATAAAATAACCTAATCCACACACCGAGTTCAACCCAGTGCCTACAGCAAAGTAGAAGCTCAGACAGGGTTTGCTCTTCTCCCCACTTTACACAGCATGCATCTGAAACCCAAAGGAATTAAATATCTTGCTCAAGGTCCAAGAGCTGAATCTAAACTTCGATGTGAAATCCACTGATCGCTGCGCATACTGCCTTGCTCAGTTCATTGTTGTTTTAACTGAGTTAATTGTTTAAGTTACGCCCCCTCACTAAATTGTGTTGAGAGGCCCTCAGGTAGTTAGAGCAAAGAGGTGCAAAGATTAAGGTCAGTTCCTTCATCTCTCACCAGCCATCCTGCAATTCAGAAAACACTGAGCTCCGCAGGGCCGTGGGAGAATCCATGCGCAACCAGCTCTGCTGTCAGAAGAAATCCTAGCTCTACTGCGAGTAGCTCAGCTAGGCTCGCCCATTTCCTGGCAGGTGCGAGCTGGTCTTGGTTTGCCACATTCATCCTGGTATAATTACTAACAGTACCCGCTCCCCAAACCTCCTAGTTTGGACAAGCGGTATTGTCACTTGCCCCACATGGTACCATCTTTAGCAAATAAAGAGCGGGAGGTTTTATTGTTGGCTTCTTGCCTCTGTACCACAGCCGTGTCTTATACACGTGGATTCTTTGCCCTGTCCCTTATTGTAGACGGCACTTCTTCATGGTTTCAGATGCTCAGCCGTGGCATGAGGTGTGAAGGTTTAGACGCTGGAGTCCTGTGACAGGAGTCCTGTGTCCTGACTCCAGTACCCACCTATGGGCAGATTACTTCACTTCTCCCTAAGGCACAGCGTCCTCACCTGCAGAGTGGAAGAATAAGCCAGACCTTGTTGGTTTATAAGAATGCAGTGATTGGAGAATGTAGCTTCTGTTAGTCACATTAGTACCCTTTGAGTTCTCTTTGCTGACTGCTGCCTGCCTTTCTTGGTGTGTGGTGTGGGTGGGGCTGACCCCTCTTCTGCCTTCAGCCACAGGCACAAGACAGAAGCCTCACGTCAAACACAGTGCCTGGCTCACAGGGGACCCCTGAAGTTTGTGCTGGGATGAGAGGCAAAGACTCTTCTTCCTTTAAGGTAAAGATGCTACCATTGTCCCCTAGGGTTGAAGCCAGCTCAAAGCAAAGGAGAGCAGCAAGGAAGGAAGGATTTCGGTGGATGTTGCTTTGGTCCCTGATCCAGCTGTGTTTGAAGCCAGGCTGCTATGCTTGCTAAGCAATTAAACCTTTTTTTGTTTGTTTGTTTGTTTTTTTGTTTTTCTTCTGGTACCAGGAATCGAACTCACGACCTTGAGCTTGCCAGGCAGGCGCTTTGCCGCTGAGTTAAATTCCCGGCCCCTAAGCAATTAAATCTTATTTTATACTCATGCCTTTTGAGTTAAGCTTCTTTCACTTGCAACCAAAAGTGTCCTGGCTAAGGCAATGAAAGATTTGCATTTCAATGTGAGCCCCACCTTCATCCCATAGAAGTGAACTTGCATGGTAGACTTTAAGCTTAGTGTCAAACTGAGAAGGTCAGAATACTGCAGTGGAGTCAGGAACTAGAGACACTCAAACCCCACCTATCCATGACTTTCTCATCTGCCAGCACCAAGCCCGGCCCCACACAAAGGACTGACCCTATTGACCCAAAGGAGCTCTTGGTTGGTCCCAGGCCTGAAGACACAGCCAGCCCGATGTGATCCCTCCATGGAGACCTGTTCATTCAAGTGCCCACCCTGCATGAGTGGCCCTGCAGGTAGAACCTGGAGCAGCCCCTCAGTGAGGGTCAGTGAGGTGGCAGCTCGTCCTGTAAGAGCCAGCTCTCATCCTGCCTCTATCTATTGAGTTAAAATTGAGCTTCTAGTTTAGATCTTAGGCAGGTGGCTGCATGTGAAAAAAAATGCTATTTTTCTGATAAAATTGCTCTGTCATTATAGATGAATAAGTTCTGGGGAATCTAGCACACAGCGACTATAGTTAACAATGCTGAACTGATTATTTGAAATAAATCTTAAATATTTTCACCACACATACACACACACACAGGTAATCATGTGTGCTGATGGATATGTTATAACTTCACTGGTAATTATACATTTATTGTACATACATTGTACACCTTATATGTAACTTGTCAATTTTAACTCAATAGCACAAAATGGGAAAAAGAAATAAATGCATTGTCCATAACATATGGCTAAATAAAAGTTTGCAGAGAAATGTTTGCACAATGATTACATCTTTGTAAATATGTATCTGTATTTATATCTTTCTATAAGCAGACAGTGGCTGGGATAAACATATCCATGAAAAAATAAAAAATTCTCTTCCAGTAGGCAGGGCCTGGGTGTGGGGAAGAGGTGGGCCAGAGCACCAAAGATCAAGTCACATCTCAGGCTAGGCTTTGTGTTTGTTTTGTTTTTTCTTTTTTTAAAATAATAGCCATTGTCCTCTGCTTTCCTTTGAAAGGTGATCGTTTTGGAAGCTCAGATTTGGGATCCCCACTGGCCTCCCAGTAGGTGGGCCTGGGGAAGGAAACGTGGGAAACAGCATCAGGTCTCTGAGGCCTGGAGGAATCCCTTCCCATCCACACCAGTCACGCTAACTCATGGCTCACCCATGAGGTCAGGCCCCACTGTGGCATTGGTTGAAATGGAGCTTCAGAAACAGACTCTGACCTCAATTTGCGTAGAATTTATTTATTTATTTATTTTTTGTTAGTTCATGTTTGTTGCACATAACAAATACATTTATTGTGGGGAGTAGGTACGTGTACATGACGCATCTTTATTTTAGTGTCGTGTGGGATTTTAAAGGCAAATCTGCCAGGAGAAATGGTGGGGTGGGGAAGGCACCAGGCAGGATCCCATCTGAGGCATAGTCTCAGCCTCACTGGCAATCCCATGGGGGACCTGTGGGTGTGTCTCCATTCAAAGAACTGGGCTTCGTCCCCCCTCCTTGGCAGCTGGCAATCTCCGGGAAGCCCGAAGTGTTCTGCTGGGCTTTGCTCTGGGTGCAGTGATCCTCGGGTAGCAAGGGAAGTACTCTTGGGTAGCAAGGGAAGCTGAGAGTAAGAGTGCGTAGATGGGCTTGAGCGGAAGCAGCACACGAATCTGGCATTGCGTGGTGGACGCTATCTGGGGTGAGCACCTAGACAGCTGTATTAGTCAGCGAAGCGGAAGTAACAAGGCGAGGGGGTTTCCACCAGTTACTCACAGCGGGTGCGTTAAGTGAAATTGTTTCCTATCTTCTGTTTGGGATTATTTACCTCATTTTCTCCAAACCTTCTTTTCACAGTCTCCTGAGACGTTTTTCCAAGCTAAATGTTGTGTTTAAATTAAAAAGAAAGAACTTAAATCCAGACTGGGAACTTCGTTTCAAGTTATCCCAGTCTCCTTGCTCATCACCATCAGATTTAGCTGTGGTTTAAGTGAATGGGCATTGGCCAGTAATCATAACTCTTCATCCCGCCCTGTTTCAGGAGATAGAACTGGGTTGACAAGAAGCCTCTTTCTGGAATACAGCCTCCATCAGGAAACATGCGAGTGGCCACTGGAAGCAGAGCTAAAGGGAGGGCAGGGGACTGAGAAATAAAGGATTAAGACATTACATACGGTACAAATTCCCTATAATGAACCTGATCATCATGGATGACAAATATGTACTAATAAAATTTTTTTAAAGAAAGCAAAACAGAAATATCTGCACCAACCAGCCTTTCCTTAATTAAATTAAATTATTTTACAAGTGTAGGAGGAGGGTTGGGGAGATTAACCAGCTCAGAAAGACAGCTTTTCTTCTTTGAGGGCTATGACCATTACCTCCACCCGCCACCCCTTTCCCTCTACACCCCGCCCCATGCAGCTCAACCTTCCAGAACTTTCAGCAGCTTCCCTGACCAGTGGCCAAGTCTTCCTCCTAAGAACTGTGCTTGGAGACAGAGAATCTTATTCCACCTGGTTTTGGCTTGGACTGGGGTATGTGGACTGGAAAGTGAGCTTGCCATTGTCAGGTATACAGGCTTGGATACAGGTCCAGCAAGCAGAGAAACCAAGCCAGAAGGGGAGAATCTTTGCACAGTTACGAAGTGCTAGCTCGGTGCTGGGCAGTTTCCACAGGGGTGGGCCACAGGATCCTTACCACAGTCCCATGGAGTGGAAACCAAAGTGACACTCAGCTCCAAAGTGGCTTAGCAAAGTATTCAAGGTCACACAGTGTTATGGTTTACAACTAGATGTCCCCCTAAAGCTTCATGAGCTCATAGTCAGGACGTTATGAGAGGCAACTAGATTACCGGGCCAATATAGCTGACTTCCTGTTAGGAGGTGGGGCCTGGTGGGAAGAGATGGCCATTGTGGGCTCAACCCAGCAGGTTGTCTCTCCCTTCCCAGCTCCTCCTTCGTTCTCTGTTTTCCTGCTGCCATGAGGTGAGCAGGTTCCTCCTCCCAGGCCCTTCCACCAGGCCGTTCTGTCTGAAACCTCCACAAACTGAGGCAAAATAAACCTTTCCTCTTTTTTTTTTTTTTTTTTTTGCCTTTTTGAGACAGGGTCTCGCTGTGCAGTTCAGGCTGGCTTTGAGCTCACTTTGTAGCTCAGGCTGGTCTCAAACTTGCAATGATCCTCCTGCCTCAGCCTCCTGAGTGCTGGGATTACAGGCGTGCACCACCATGCCCGGCCTCCTCCTTTAAGTTGTGGCTTCGCAAGTGCTGCCCGCAAGGCCAGAGGGGAGCTGAGTTGTTGGGGCTCATACTAGATTGCAGTTCCCGAGAATGAGAGAAGCCCTGGTGGACAGACAGGTCACTGCCTGGAGGTTCTTGCTGGCCATCCTCCTCCCTCAGATCTCTGCCTAAGACACTCGCCCTGTAATCTTATAATAAATACCCTCTCCTGCTTCTTTCTTAAATGGTGCTGTGTTTTCAGTATTAGTTTCCACTTGCTCATCGGTAGCACAGAAGAAAACAACTGACTTTTATGCACTGATGTATTCTGCATCCCTGGCAGAGATTATTAGTTTTAGTCACTTATTAGTTTTAATATTTTTGTCGATTTTTTTTCAGTTTTTCTACATGAGTCATCAGGTCATCTGTGAATAAACTTAACTTTCTTTTTTCCTTCTTGAGCTATATACCTTTTCTTCTTCTTCTCACTTCAGAAAAAAATGTACAGTGGGTTTCTATGCTTGCAACTGAAAGACCCTTAGGGACGACTCTGCTGCTGATAAAATGAAAGAAACTGGGATTTGTTGTCAGTTCTTCCCACTTCTGAAAGCTCCCATTCCCACTGCCATGCCCTGGGTTGAGCCTCAGGGATTTCGACCAAGTGAGGCTTGAGGAGGTATCGCCTGGGCAGCTCACATCAGCACCTGGGGGCCTGGGATGTCTGTGTCCAGCCTTGCCCTTGGATCTGTGAAGAGAAAAAATACAAAGCTCCAGAAGGTCTTTAGGAGAAAGAAGACTTTTCAGATATAGGCAGTGCCATGCGGACCCCAATCATCAGAGAAAATGCGTTTCCTGTTGTGTTTAGATACAGTCAGAGGAATCTCATTTCCTCTTTACAGCTGTCGACAAGCCAACCGCAGTGTTCTCTGAGACCCTGCAGGATGGATAGGCTGGAAGAGAAAATAACACAAGGCTGATACCTTCATTGGGGGTTCAAGTGAGGAGGTTCCATTTCCTTTAATAGTGATATTTTCCGGCCAATTGAACAAACATGGTTTCCTATTACTAACACACAGTACACCTTTACAGAGGATTAAACAAAGTTTATCTTAAAGCTTTTGAATATAAAAGGGCAGCTATAATCATGATTGTACGAAATAGAACACATAAAGATTTAAATTTGAGTTAGTTTGTCATTCTGTCTACACTGTTTGTAATATACTTAAAATGTAATGTATACATATAGCATAGATAGATACATTGTATATATAGTGAATATGTAATACTCTCTAGAATGTAAATATTTTTCGTTTTGCTCTTTTATCTTTGCTAAGCAAGGAAGTTTCAACAGAATATTTACATTCTTCAAGAATTTATGTCAACAATTATTTGATTCTTCATATCAAAGATAATCATGGCTTATATGTCTACATAAACTAGGATTGAAGAGCTATGTCAAAAGTTTCTGACTCCAAAACTCATAAAATCAACACCTTAATAGAAGATGCCTTAAAATAAGAGTGTGGTTGTAACACAAAAGAAAAAAGATGATTTTCTCAAAAGTTTTAGATGGCAAAAGACCATAGATGGCAAAACTCTAGCATAATGCCACCATCTCTTGGTAGCAGAACCGAGGACCTACCACCTCCACCCCCAGCAGTCTCCTCCCTGGCATGTGGGAGGGCCAGTGGTGCTCCAGGGAGCCACTGTCCAGCTGTGGTGCAGAGATCCTAGTCACCATCTGCAGCAGTCTATGGCTTTTGGTGTAAATTTCAGGCTCCTCCAGTTGATTTCTGCAAAAGGAGAGTTACACATAAGTTACTAACAGCACTTAAGGGATGATTTAGAAATGATTTGAATGTAGCCCCCAAATTTCAGGTGTTAAAATTTAATCCTTATGGTGAGGTATTAAGAAGGTGGAAACAATTTTATATGGTTGTTATGGTTTGTGTCTAGATGTTTCCCCCCAAACCTCATATGATCATGGATGGTTTTCAGAGGTGGTTGAATCTGGAGTCTGTGATGCTGGGATTAAAGGTGTGTGATTAGTAATTCAGTCCACTGATTGGTTTGGTACCACCCTAGTCCTGGTAGCCTAGATATAGATGGGGCAGAAAGAAGCTGCTAAGGTCTTGCTTGCTTTGCTATCTTCTACCTGCCGCGAACTGCTTCTCCTCTGCTATGCCTATCTGCCATGCCACCCTGCCTTGGAGCCAGCTGATTATGAACTGAACTCTCTACAAGCTGTGAGGCAAATAAACCTTCCCCTCTTTAACTTTGGGAGCTGGGTATTTTGTCTCAGCAGTGAGAGAAAAGTAACTAATACAGTGGTGGTTAGAGTTAGGGACCTTGGAAGTGATTACTCTTGGATAAGATCATCAGGGTGGAACCCTGAAGACTGAAATTGGTGGCTTCATATGCAAAAGGAAAGAGGCCAAAGACACACACAGATACTCCCCATCCTTTGTGATACCTTTTGCTTCCAGCAAAGTCATTACCAGGTGCAGGCTCTGAAACTTGGACCAGAACCATGAGCCAAAATAAACCCTTTTTTTTTTTCCTTTATAAAATCACTCAGCTTCAGGTGTGTTTTAATAACAAAAATAGATTAACACCGTTATGGCCTAGGTCTAGACGGTCCCCACAAAGCCTCACGTGTTCAGAGGCAGGCTTGTGGAAGGTGATTGCATGGTGGGGTGCTATCCAATCAGCGGGTGCATCCCCTAATGAGTTCACTAGCTGCTGTGCTGTCAGGATGTGGAGCCTGGTTAGAGACAAGTCCCTGGGGCCTGAGCTGGAAGGGTGTGTTCCACCCCACAGCTCCTCCTTTCACTCTCTGCTTCCAGGCCGCTGTGATGTGAGCAGTTTCCTGCCCTCAGCACCTTCTACCATGCTGTTTCTGCCTTGGAGACAGCCAACCAGGGATGGAACCAGAGTCATGGATTTCAGGTATCCTGTCCCAGTGACAAGAAGTGGTTAAGATAAATATGTCATGTAATCCTTGGGAGGGCTGGAAGCACCCTGAATTTCTACTAATGGAGTTTTATTAGTTAGAATTGCCTACTAATGGAGTTGTTGTCTCCAGATCCCTTGCAGGGCCATGCCAGTGCTTTGGTCAAGGAGCTGCTGCATCCACATGCTCTCCTACTCCTCCATCGGGCCTGGCTTCCTCTCTGAGGCTCTAAGTGGCAGCTGCTGCCCTCCTAGATCTCAACATGCTGTGAAGCACAGTGAGGTAACACACATGTGGGGTGTGAATCAGTGTCTTCAGCATCCTCATGAGTAGGTGATGGAGAAAGGGGAAGGTGGGAAAACTATGGAGCCCTGAGGAGGAAGAGGCAGAACTCCGAGGGCAGAGGGAGCCCATGGCTGCTAGAACAAGCTTTATCTGTGGTAGATGTTTAAATATTTAAAATGTATTACGGTAAAACACGCATTGCCATGAATTCCCCTCAGAATACTCCAAGTTAAAACTCACATATCCCATTGTTCTTGCCACTTTCTGAAGCAGTTCTGGAAGTCCTCCTTCCTGAGTGTCTTCAGTTGTGCTGTCACTGTTGTGGCTGTCTTGATGCCCTGAATGGATTCAAAACATTTACCTTTCATGGTCATTATGACTTTGGGGAAGAGTCAGAAGTCTCCCAGTGCCAGAGCCAGTGAATAAGGTGGATGAAGCCACACGGTCTTTTTTTTATGAACCTGCCTTTCTGGTGGGTGACACTAGGCAGCAGCATTCACCATGGTTTTGATCACAGCTCAGAAAGACACTCAAGAAAGAGGACTTCCAGAACTGCTTCAGAAAGTGGCAAGAACAATGGGATAAGTGTGTTTGAAATGAGGCGGAGACCTTTGAGGGGGATAATGGCAATGTGTGTCTTACTGCAATACATTTTTCAATACATTTTTCAATTTAAACATTCCTCACAGTTTTCCATCCGTGATCACACTGCCTGCCCTCTCCCTGCTGTGGCCTCTTCAGGCTATGCTCTGTTCTCTGTCTGCCCTGCTCCTCCACCCTACTCAGACACACCTGCCATTTTCCTGAAGCCTCTGCCCTCTTGAGTCTCTGGTCTTTTTCTCATTCCTCCCTGCCCCAGATTTGCTGCTTGTTTTCAAGGTCTAGCTCAAGTGCCAGATCTCCACACCTGCGCTGATTTCCTTCTTCCTGTCAGAACTGGCTGCCACCTTCTCTGCTTCCAAGTGACTGCATGCATCTGTCTAACCCCACCCCTGCTGGACCTTGAGGGGCAGCGATTGCTGCATCTCTCCATGTGGCCTCATGCTCAGCAGAATCAGCCACACTATCTCCATCTTTGTGTGTCCCCTGCCTACTGTGCTTTTGAGAACTGACTTGCATTAGCCTGGTGAGAAAGGTAACATGAGCTTCTTGAACAACCTTGCTCAGGCAGGCTGAACAGATGCCTGGGAGTCTGAAAGAGATGCAGGGAGAGGAGACGCCTTATGGTTGTTTCTCGTTCTCCCTTCAGCCACTTACTCCTCCAGGCTGAAGATGTGCAAGACGGTGTGTCATCTTAACCAGAGAAGACGTCCTTTTGGGAACTGGCAGCAGGAAACCTTTCAGAATCTCTAGTTTCATAGAACAATTGCTAAAAGATCATCTTTGTTATGCTGTTTGCTCACACATAAAGATGTAACGTTAAAAAACGGCCAGAAACACATTTTATAACTGAGAAGCCTGATTTGCAGTGGCTTGTGAATATGCAAAGAGTCCACGCTATGAATCAGGATGACTATTAATGCTACCTCAGGAATGAGCTTGTTTTGTGGCTGCCCGTGTGTCCTCTTCAGGTCTCTGCTTCCTCTCCCGTGAAACACAGGTTTGGGGCAGTGACGTCTGAGCTCTTTGGCTCTACGGTTCTGGGACATGCTGACGCCATGGTTTACACAGAAAGAGAAGCTGCCTTTGAACCATGGCATCTTCTACCCCTTGCCTTCTGCCAAGGCTTCGGCAAGGGTGGGATCCAAGTCAAATGGCATTAGGAAAAGAATATTTCACGCAAAAATCATTTTTGTTTCAGCACTGAGAATTGAACCAAGGACCTTCACATTGAGCTACATGCCCTGCTGTTTTTTAAAAAAACTTATTTTGAGACACAGTCTCCCTAAATTGCTTAGACTGGGCTTGAACTTTCAGTCCTCCTGCCTCAGCCTCCTAGAGTGGTGGGATTACAAGAGTGCACCATCACAGCCAACTGAAAGTTGAATCTTTTAAAACTGAGTATGAGAAGAAAATATTTCTTTTCTACATCTTGGTATATTTCCAGAAGAAGCCCACCGTAAAGGTTAAACTGATCACTGCTTTAAAATTCTCTTCTGTCTGAATTGAAGGTTTTCCCTTGAGCTTACAGAGTCGCAGAGAACACTGGCCTTATCCTTGTCTTTACGGCAACACACAAAGTCACCTCTGCTCCAGCTGATGTCAGTCAGTCACTATTTGCATAGTAAATTATTCTCAAACTTAAAAACACATGGGCCCTTAATCTCAGAAGAAAGTTAAGCTCTTCAGTGGTATCTCCAGGTCCACACCCAGCTGCTCTTGTAGCTAGCTATTCCCACATCCATTTCTCTGGTGCCATTATCTGCATCTCTAACTTCTGTGTCTCTAACTCTCAATGCATGGGCACTTTCTTGCCCTTGGTATGCTTGTCATTTAGGCTCATCTCCTGGATGGCTCCTTTTAACTGTCCTTATCAATAAATCAACAACCAATCGGAGTCTTCACTCCATGTTTCCTCTTCTCCATCCTCCAGGAAATAGCGTGTAAGCAGGGTTGAGGAATCTGGATTTTATCCTGAGAATAACATCTGGTCCAGAAGGGTTTTAAGTGGTGGTGGTTTGTGGTCAGATCTGCATTTTCTTTTTTTTTTTTTTTTTGGTTTTTCTCCGGTACCAGGAACCAAACTCACAACCTTGCGCTTGCCAGGCAGGCGCTTTGCCGCTGAGCTAAATCCCCAGCCCCAGATCTGCATTTTCAAAAGGTGACTCTGGCTGCAAATATAAAATGGGAATAGGGAGGGGCCGTGAGGATGCCCCTGGAGGCTGTGAAGTCAATCCCATGACAGGTAATGATAGTACCAGACCACAGAGACAGGGAAGGGACAGAATTGAGAGGTGACCAGGCTCTTGACTCAAATTTGGGACCAGAGGGTTGGGGAGTGGGGAAGCCTGGTATCTTAGTTACCTTCCTATTGCTGGGACATGATACCTGATACCCAAAAGTTATAGGAGGGAAGGTTTATTTTAGCTCACAGTTTGTAGACGTTTCTGTCCATAGTGGGCTGGCTCCAAGACTTGGCAGCATGGAAGAAGAGAAACAGTCCATGGCGGGGTTCAGCAGAAAGCAGCAGCAGCAAGTAGCAGCTTGCCTTTCTTGAGAAGTTGAGGGTGGGCACTGATCTCTCTTTTGGCCATTTCTTTCATATCCTGCTTGAAACTGTCCATCTCTACTCTACAAAGACCATCTCCCAAAAATGTTCCAGGAACTCTTATCCGAGCAGCAGTGGAAAGAACACTATACTGAGGTTCGGGTTCAGGGTGGGGGGGCTGGTAAAACTTGGCCCGGTTTCTCCAGCCTGCCATGGCAACTGGACTGTATCTCCTAACCTCTGAAAATTCACTTCATTTGCTGTAAAACATTTGCACGTGATGCAATCTCAGGTAATTCTCTAATAGTTCTCCAATGTTTTTATTCTTGTTACTCAGTAATTGTCTCTGTTGAAGCTATATGGAACATATTTTAAAAATAAAGTATCGCTACTGAACTGAAGAAGCACAGCCCTGCATATGGCTCTGCTGCCATGTTACTTAGGTAACTGGAGGAGTTAGTATAGGCTGTGGTTAAACTTAGGAGCTCAAGAGCCAAATTATCTAAGTTCCAGTCACATCTCAGCCCCTTGCTAGGTGTGCGACCATGGGAAATGATGGAGCCTTGCTGCACCTCAGTTTTTCTATCTGCAAAATAGACATGGGAATATTAAATAACAGTTATATGAGTAAACAGATGCAATGTACTATGTGTGTTAAATAAGTATTATTTAGAGGTGGGTAGATGGGTGGGCCAGAGAAAAATTCCCAGAGTTTTAAGGAGTTTTAAAATCTCTTTTGTCATGGTATTGGGCATCTAAACTTGCCAAATTCAGTTCAAGACGTATTTATTGAGAATATTTTGTATCATATTCTTCTAAAAATAGCTACTCTGTAGAGCATGTTGCCTCTCCATAACTGTTCAATAGCCATATAGATAAGTGGGGCTTAGTGGTACATACCTATAATCACAGTACTGTGGAGGCTGAGGCAGGAGGATGCCTCAAGTTCATGGCCAGCCTGGGCTACATAGTGAGTTCAAGGACAGTCCAAACTGCATAATAAGACCCTATCTCAAAAAACTCAAAAAAAAAAAAAAAAAGTATAGACAGCCAAAGAGCCAGGGCTTGTACCAGACTCCCAGTGCTCTCTGAGTTTACAGAGAACAAATGGGGCCTGTATGTTCTTTTTCTGTTGGTGACGGGAGAGAAATAAATTATGTGTGGCTGTTACTCCCTTCCTCACATTTGATAAGCTTTTATTCTACCATAGCCTCATGTTTTCCACAGGGGCTTTGACTAAAGCCGTGCAAGGCAGCCTGGCTCAGCAGCCCTGCTCTCCACAGAGTAATTGAAGCACTGCTTCGCCCCAGGATGGTTGCAGATGGAAGGAGCCTTGCGGGCGTTCTTTCTCCAGAGCCTCACACCCAGCTTCCTTTTATTGAAAAGAAGTTGGAGGAAAAAGGAGGAAAGAATCACATAATTATACTCCTTAACAATTTGTTCTTAGCAGATCCTGTGTGTTTCTGAAATTCTGCAGTTTAAGAAACGTAATAGCAACAGGAGCCCAAAGAAGAGGACAGACTGATTTTACAGCTAACATAAATGAAGATTTTCCTCGGGAGAACCTAACTGCAAAGACAATTTACTCCGGTTATAGTGATGAACTAGAGGATAAAGCACAGCAGTTCAGGAAAGGATCATGTGGGAAAGATCAATGAGCTTCTCCTTCTGCACCCTTCCCCAGGCCACCCACAAGTATGATGAGGAAACCAACAAGATTTACACTGAAATTCACAGAGAAGAAGATAGGGCTCTCCTTTGGAGCTTCCTGTCCTTGCTGGCCCTGCCACCACCCCCCTGCTGGTCTGCAGCCCTCTCTCCTTTGCTATAAATTATACACATCAGGAACACAGTTCACTCACGCTGAGACGGCTTTGGGAAATATGTAGCTCAGTGAGGAGGAAAGAAAGTCTGATACTGACTGGGAAAAACAAACCTTGATTTTTTTGTATCAGATTCCTCACATCCAAGTTCCCCGCAGGCCTGGGCTTTCAGGGGGGTCAGTGAAAGGTGACAGGGAACAGGCCGCAGCACCCTGTGTCCATAACACTCCCTCATGTTGAACTGCAGCTGCTGAATTGCTTTCGGTTCAGTGCCAGAGACAGCAGAGAGGCCTTGCAGTGAGCAGTGGTAAAATCAAGGGCAGAGGAGATGTTGGGGTTCCATCCATTCCCAAGTTTCTCGTGTCCTTTTCTTATGCTGCATTTGCCATTCCCGGGACTTCTGTCTACTTGCAACAGTTAAGGAACCTCACTGGTTACCATACCTAGATTCTGTCCTCATCTTGGGCTCTGCTCGTCTCCCTAGAGTTAGAAAATGAAGCTTGGGGAAGAGACACATCATGAAGGACCAGGGGCCAGGAACAGTTGCCCAGCACTGTCACTGCAGCTGGTGTAAGGATCAGAGGTGTAGCCCCTCGGGCTACCAGAGATAACCTGAAATCCATCCAAGGAACACAGGCTGCCTCCAGAAAGCCCACTCTGTTGACATGACGATGACTCACACCCCATGACAGCCAGAGCTGTGCAATAATAAATCTGTGCTGCTTTAAAACAACACCTTGTCATTTGTTACACACATGAAAGGAAACTAATGCACAAGACCTGACACTACATACCCTAGACCCCTACCCTTTGCAGATGAAAAAACTGAGGCCCAGAGAATTTTGCCAACTTTCATGAAATCACATGGCTGGTTAATAACAGCTAATGCTGGGAGCAGTTCCTCTCTGCTAAAGAACAGAGTTAGTATGAGTGCAGGGCCTACGCCTTGTGAGATTCACGAAGTTAGGCACTGGGCAGGTGGGTGCAAAGAGCACAGGTAAACACAGAAAATCGGAGTTGTTATCACCAAATCATTCATGCATTCAATAATATTTATTACTTACCTCCTGAGTGCAAGGCGCTCTTCTAGGTGTTGGGGAACCAGTGGTATCTGAATCTGGTGGTCCTCCTGGGTCCCAGCAGCCCTGCTTGAGCTCCTGGTAGCTTGGCGCCCTTCCTTCCGGCCCACAGAGCGGGATGCCCATGACAGGCCACGCCTGCACACCTGCCCTCCCCCAGCTATTACGCGGCTCCTCTGACGCCTGCCCAGCAGACACAGGAGCCTGGTGACACCGCCCCAGCACCTTCATGCATAAAACATGGCCCAGGAGGCCGAGGGAGGCCGGCCTAGGCTGCGCAGAGGGGCTGCCACCTTCAGGCCCCTGGGGAGTGAGGGGAAGGAAAGGCAAGGCCAATCATAAGATAAAAATCAACGGAAACCTCAGATGTGAAAAAAAAAGAGAGAGAGAGAGTGGGGTTTTTTTAGCTTAGTTTGGTTTTTTTTTTTTCTTTTTTTTTCTGTAATTCTCATACTTCCGGGATGGCTGCCCGGCCATGAGGAGGTTTTAGGCCCCGCTCCCTGGGACCATGGTGCTACCTTCCCGGCTGCACTGGATCCGGAACCGGCCATGGAGGGACCGCATCCGCCGGCGCCAGCTCAACCGTGAGTCTCCAGGCAGGCGTTGCCACACCTCTTTTCTCCACAGCCTTTGTTTTGAGCTCCAGTGTCCCCCTTCCTCTTCCTCCCACCCTCCTACCCCTCTTCCACTGCCGGCTCACCTTGCACCCACTCGACTCCCTTCCTGCGTCCTGTGGCCAAGCAGGAGGAGGTTCTTGTCGGTATTTTCCATCTCGATGGAGGACACAGATATATATTTACATCAGGCAAAGCGTCATGTGAATTGGAAGCTCTGCCCTTACAGGGAGGAAAGCGGAATGTCCCAATGGAGCAAGTGTCAGCAGTGTGGCTCCTAAAGGGTGAAAGTCAAGGATCAGAGTCACATTGTCTTTAAAGGGCCCAATGCTATTTCTGAAATGATCGAACTCCTGCTGAGGTCCCTCCCGAGCCAACAGGAACTCTGGGCCGAAAGGAGATGTTGACACAATCTGAGAAAGAAAGGCATTCCCAATAGATGCCCAGGGCAGTACCCATCATCAAGCAGTAAATTCGTGTGTCTTGCTGAAGAGGTTACTCATCTCAGATGTCAGTGAATGCCAGGGGCTGGAGGGGGTGGTGGCTCAGCAGTGAACGAAAGGGGCCTGGCTAAGGAACAGTTCGCTTTCTTCTTATCTCTGTCATGAGAAAAACCACAGTGAAGCCATGATGACAGATTGCTGCTGATATTTGGCCTTACTATGAGCAGGCGAGAGAGAGTGGTAGGCTGTGCGGTGAAAAGGGACCACAGGTCCTACCCGAGGGGCCGCAGTCATCCCAAACCATCACCCGTTCCCACGAGGAATGAAGCCAGGTTGCCAGATTTACCAGTTTTTCAAGAAGAAACAAGAAAAATACTAGTTTACTGAAAACCGAAAGCTCTCCACTTTGAGTGTTGGCAGTTAATTCTTTAGATTTTAAGCACCGTAGTAACCAATGCTCTGATACCAAACATGGCAATCTGTGAACCACCAGCTACAGAGCCCTGGTGTATGTGCGGGGTGCTGCTGTCGCTACCGCCCACACGATTACCCAGCGCTGCTTACTTGCTGATGACTTCCTCTGATGCTTTAATAAAGAGCCCCTGGGCCAGACAGGCAAATTAAGATGAATGAGTGGTTTGTGTCAGATACAGTCAAAATCTATTCATTTAGGAGGGAAGCTGGGTTGATTGGATTCCAAATGGTGCCTCACATACAAGGCAATATTTTGCACCCAACAAAATATTTAATTTTTTTTTTAACTGAGTAAACTATTAGGAATTTTCTCAGAGTTTTCACCTTCTTCATCAACTGCTCCTTTCCCTTGAGCTTCCCTTGAACTCAAACTTATTTTTATGATTTGTGTCTATGGGAAAATATTTGGGCTTCTTCAGGTTCATGGCAATACTTTTGCTGGGGTAGGGAGTGTCCCTGGGAAAAGGGTGAGCATGGATGTGCATGGCTTTCCAGTATGGGTGGGAAGGCGGCCAACGCTACAAACAAGAACTTGTGCATAGAAAGCTGCTTCACCTTAGAGGTGGTACTTAAATTGCGAGACTGGGAGCAGGATACTGTGCGGTGATTTTTGTTTTTTGGGGGAAGGTGGCGGGGATTGAACCTAGGGCTTGTGATCCCAGCCCTGTCAAATATATATGTGTGTGTGTATATATTATATATATGTGTTTATATTTATACATTTTATTATATGTATGATGTCATATCTATATCTATATATGTATTTATATTTATACATTTTATTACATATATTATGTCATATCTATCTATATCTATATCTATCTATCTATCTATCTATATATATATATTTTTTTTTTTTGGTCTCACTAAGTCAGTAAATTGCCCAGGCTGGGCTCAAACTTGTGATCCTCCTGCCTCAGCCTCAGCCTCAGCCTCAGCCTCCCAGAGTGCTGGGATTATAGCCGTGTACCATTGTGCCTGGCTTCTGCATGGTTTTATTTATTTATTTTTTTGTACTGGGAATCAAACTGGGGACCTTGGGCTTGCCAGGTAGGTGCTTGTGCCGCTAAGCTATATCCCCGGTCTTCTGCATGGTTTTAACACCGAATGATGGTGATGGTAGCAGATACTGGATCTAAATTCATCGTCAAGCAGGCTAATCTAAACCCTTGTCTTGGTTACTTTTCTCTTGTTGCTGAGACAAAATTCCTGATGCCTAGAGTTAAGGAAGGAAAGGTTTATTTAGCTCACAGTTTGTGGAGGTCTCAGCCCATAATCAGCTGGCTCCAAGGCAGAGTGGCACATGGCAGAGGGCAACCGTTCTTGGCAGTAGAAAACAGCAAAAGCAGCAAGAGCATAAAGGGAGGAGCAGGCAGGGAGAGCAAACCTCTTTCCCTTCCTTCCATTGTATGCAAGCTACCTGCCCCAGAGCGGGTGTAGCTCTCACACTCATAATCCCAGCATTGGACCATGGATCAATCACAAACTCTAGAAGCCCACCCCATGACTGCATGGGGCTTTGGGGGGATGTCTAGATGCAAGCCATAACAACCCTGTTGTATCAGTGTCTGAGGGATTCTGATGTTCTTCCAGCAGTCTGGCTGTATTCTTCTTCCAGAAATAGGAGCAGGATCAAGTACTGTGTTCAGGGGTGATTTCCAACTCAGGGAAGATCTGTGCATGGTGGAAAGCAAGAAGGGTTAGACAGGGAAGGTAAGAACTGGGAGGAAGCTCTCACTTCAAACTGAGCCTGCACCTCAGCCACAGCGGTAGCTTCTCTGATGACTTCTCCAGTTTCCTGTCACTGAGGTTCTCACAGGCTAGCATCTCCTCTCAGCTGGGGACTCAAGCTCTGCTACCCATCAGTGTTTTTCTATCATTGAGAAATGGAAGTTAGTAAACTCTAATCTCCTAAACACTCAGAGGACCTTGGGTGGCAGCAGGAGGTCACACGTGGTCATATGCAGACATCACTAATCAACCACAGCTTGCTCTTTCCTGTCAAGGGGACCAGCCCTAGGCTCCTTATCCCGGATTATATGGTGCTCAGGCTGCTATTTCTAACCAACTAGAATCGCCTTGTTTGCTTTAAAGCTGGGTCTATGTTTTATTGCTTCTTAACACATTACAAATTAACTGTCTTAAAACAACATGCATTTATCACAGGAGTCTGGACATGTATTATCTGGGTCCTCTGCTTCCTCACTGGTTTTGTGGTGCTGAGGCCAACATGTGGCCTGGGTTGCTGTCTCACCTGGGGCTTGGGCTCTTTGCCTCTTCAAGGCCACAGGGAACTCTTGTTGCTTGTAATCGCACCTTAAAAGGGCTCATCTCTTGAGTCAAGCCCATCAAAGTCAACTAGTCAGGGATCCTAACTACATCTGCAAAAATTGCTTCAACTTTGCAGTGCAAACTAGTCTAACCATGGAAGTGAAAGCTTCCAGTGTTCTTGCACAAGTCTTTCGGACACCCCAGGTGACAGGACTACACAGGCATGCACACCAGGGGGCAAGAATCATGAGACCTTCTTGGAGTCCGTTTGCCATAAGCCCGATGTCGTCCTTGCAGTAGAGTGGATTTTTGAACTACTGAAAAGCCTTGTTTTACTTTTTATTATGAAAATTTTTAAATGAAGAGAAAAGTAGAGAAAATAGCATAATGAATACCACATACCCATCACCTAAGCTTAATGATGTTAGCATTTTATCCTGCTGGCCTCATCTCTTTTCTGTTTTTTTTGGTTTTTATTTATTTTTTTTGTTTTTTTTCCGGTACTGGGAATTAAACTCATGACCTTGTGCTGGCCAGGCAAACGCTGTGCCGCTGAGCTAAATCCCTAGCCCCCTCATCTCTTTTCTTGAGGAAATATTATAAGATAAATTATAGACTTTATAACACAGCCCTGAATATTTTGCTAAGAGCATCTAAAAATGACATTTTTTCCTACATAACTGCCTAAGAAAATGAACAATGTCTCCCTAACATTAAATGCACAGCCCATATTCTGATCTCTCCAGACAGAAACCCATTGCAAAGTGCTCTGTGTGGCTATCACCCTTAGCAAGACACCTAGCACTGAGTGTGCACAATGAAAGTTTGAGTGCAATCGAAACTATATTCAGGCAGAGAACATAGCTCAGTGGTAGGGTGCTTGCTTAGCATGCATGAGGCTCTGGGTTCAATCCCCAGCACCACAGAACAACACTCAGCTTCCCTCACTTGTTCCTGTCACTGCCAGAGTCTGTAACAAAATCTTTGTTCTCCAGTCCAAGGTAGTTTGGTAAGGTAAATGGCAGACCGACCATACAAGAGTCACAATCCATTGCGCTTCTCAGAGACACCTGCATTTTAAGTGAGGCCATCAAAGGAAGAGAGGCTGTGTCACTATGAAGACCCAAGGGTGATCCTTGAGGGAGGGGCTCACTGGGTGCCCTGGAGGCCACACCCAGCTGCTAACCTGAGACCCACCCATGAGAAGAAGCAGGCAGAGCCACAGCTGGGGTGCGCCTGGGCTTCCTGCAGGACGTGGGGCGTCCAGGCAGGGCATGGGGCCGAGCCAAGGCACAGATGATTGGGAGCTGTGTGTTCCTTTCTTTCTTCAGTCAGCCCTGAAGAACTGTTAAAGGAAAACAAGCTTGGGAAGTTCCTAAGCTTTGACAATGGAGTTTGGCTTTGAATTCCACTTTTGCAATACTGCTGCGCGTCTGTGGGCCCTCGTCCTACCTTCTTAGATTTGGCTTCTTGAAGCACAAGAAGTGGGTATTGTAATGGTACCCACCTCGCAGGGTTTCTGGAGGGGCTAGGAGACATAAAATACAGGGAGCTTCCAGTGCGGGGTGTGTGGCGGTGGTAGCTGTTGGGATATGAAAGCCAAAAACTGGTGATGGATTTGGGGCAAGCAGAAGGTTTGCTGTTGGGGGCACATGCCGTGCTGGGAAGGCAGTCCCCCTTCCTCAGCCTCACACCCACGCTGCTTCAGCTGACTTGCGCAGCTGGCCCCAAGGCAGAAGGTCACGCAGACTCACCTGTTCCTCTGGGAAATGAAATGGGGTA